TAGAGAATTCGTACAAAGCCTAATAAAGTTAAAGCATGACTGCCGAATTTTAAAAAAAAAAAAAATAAAAATAAAAAAAATATAAGTATAAAAAAAAAAAAATAAACTATAGCCCTGTCGGACATAACGATATGTATATTATTTAATCCTAAAATGCATCTGGTTTCCTTGCAATTTAGAGCGAAATAAGATACTAGTTGGGTTTATTAATAGGTCTATCGGCATAACAATATTGGACTTAAAAGTTTCTAATTAGTCTCTGATTTCAAACAGATATTTGGCGGAAATAGGAGACCAATAAAAAATAATTAAGATTAAAATCGATATACTGGTAAGTCTTTAATATATATCGATAGGTATCTTAATTTATACTGATGAGTATCTGATTTTCTAGCATTTAAAGTAAAATAAGATACCAATCGAGTTAATCAATAGATCTACTGAAAAATTGATAATGTACTTGTTTTGTTTCTAAATGTCTATGATTTCAAACAGATATTTGGCAGAAATAAAATACCAATCAGAAAAATTTAGGATTGATTTAAGTTTAGTATCAATTTACCGGTAGGCCTTTAATATATTTCAATAGGTATCTTAATTTATACTGATGAGTACCCAGTTTTCTAGCAATTTCAAATAAAATAAGATACTTATCATGTTAATCAATAGACCTATCAAAAAATCGATAATGTACTTGTTTTGTTTCTAAATGTCTCTGAATGGACTATGATTTCAAACAGATATTTGGCAAAAATAAGATACCAATCAGAAAAATCTAGGATTGATTTAAATTTAGTATTGAAAGACTGGTAGGCCTATATTATATTTCGATAGGTGTCTTAATTTCTCCTGATAACTATCCTTTCGAGTAAATTAAGATACTTATTGTGTTAATCAATAGACCTACCAGCTGTTTGATTTAGAACCTAAATTTTCCCAATTGGTATCTTATTTCTGCCAAATATCTGTTTGAAATCAGATACCAATCAGAGACATTTACGATTTACCAGTCAGTAAACTTCTATATGCATATTGGATTGATATAGGATACCTCGGTTGTTACCTGGTATAGTTTCGTTCAACCTGTGTATGCTAAAAAAAAAGAGCTTCCAGAGTGTTTTTTATTCGATTGTGAAGAGCTAGAGAAGAAGTAGGAAGAAATATTTAAATAAATATTTAACTTTTATGGAAATAACAGTTACAAACTAATTATTCGAATTGATACTTTTTTACATTGATTTTTATACCATCTGATCAGTATGACAAAATTTGTATTCGACCAATAGGAACTTGGGGAATTAGTAAACCCAAAATTCCGATCTGTGATTGCTGCATACATAATTTATAAAATGATACTGATCCGATTACTAGATCACGGGAGTTTGACTGTAAAAATTGTACGTACAAAGTTCTTTTTCTTGGATGAATGCATCATATAATTTTTTATTTATTTATTTGTTTATTTTTGTTCCTCTCTTTATAAATGGAATGTAATATTAACTACTGAATCAAATTTATCTGACCTAATTAGCAACTCAACTAGAATTTCTAGACTAAATTTAACTAGAAGTCAATTCGTTATAATATATTTACTATATTAAAAATAGTTTGTTTATTTTATATGTTCATTTCATGTGCCCTCTCCTTCTTCGAGAGTTCTGAAAAGGGATGTTAACTGAAAAATTAACCTCAAACAGCCTAAGGTAGGTTAATAAAAATGGGTCAAATGGTTTAAAACAATGTTTTTGCCCCAATAATTATTGGTTTTTTAAAAAAAAAAATGAAAAAAATTATGAAAAATAAAAATAATAATTTTATAAAAAATAATATATAATAATAATTTAATATATTGAGGCCTAATAATTAGCAAAAAATTAAAAATTCGAACCCGAGCAACGCCGATGGTAAAAATATTCGGATTTTCTGTCAGGTGATCCTAGGAATCGTCATGCTTATAGTCGATCGTTAAGACGCCACCTGTAAGAACACTACTTAATTTTTTGAATCTTTAAAATAATAAAGGTTGATCAAGAGAAAAGCCTCGGTGTATCTTTGACTGCTTTGAATCTTGTATGAAATTTTTAATCCATAGAAGTTAGTCCATTTGGATCTAACTGCTATGCGAAACAATTACCTGTTTATATTTTTTTAAAATACTCTTTAATAGCGTAACGTTTCACTAAGTAAAAATGGTCGAATCATCTATAGCTTTAGAATCCTCTACTAAAAAATTAAAAAACCGTGTAAGATTATAAAATACCGATTGGACAGTCGGCTTTTTTTATTTGTTATAATCTAAGTTAATTGCTAATGTTCTCATCGAATTTATGAGTTTTCATGTAACCTGAATCTTTTATCGCTGTTTTCGAAATGGTTGAAAATAGTAATATTTCAAAAAACGTTCAAAACTAATCAAGTATTCGAGTATTGCAAAATGATTTTTTTTATAAATATTGCTATGTCGATCATTTTGAAACCAGCAATAACTTCAAGGTCTTCATGAAAAGCATTTTATTTGGGACGCTCGATGTGATTAGCTAGTGATTGTGATATTGCTTAACAATTATAGGAATATTTAATTAGACCACCGTTGAAGTCCAATGGTGCGAATAGTAGTATAATTGAATTATTCTCACGTATCATCCTCAATGTGATTAGTTTATGATCGTGATGGTGCTTCATTATTACGTAAAATTAAAATAATTGATTGTAATTGATGCTTGAGCAAATGCTTTTATCACTATTACTATTGGCGATTACTTCTTTTCGGACTTTACTAAAAAACAAAATTCGACTCCAACAATTTCTGTTTCTATTTCCCCTTTTCAGACTTCACAAAATTTTTTATATGTTACTACGACAAAAATTCCAACTCAACTTTTTCTGAATCCTACAATGACAAATCGGACAGTGAATTTGATGATGTAATCTGTTGTTTGAAATTGAAACTTGCTTAATAAAAATTAAACATAGGGCGTTCTCAAGCGCCTCAATTAATGGGTCAAAGCATGTTGAAAATGTGTTGGGAATTAAGTTTTAATTAGCGGAAAGTAATTTTAATCGATTAATCGAGCTTGCCATTAAGATAAGTAAGTTAACTTATTACGTTGTTACCATCAGGGTTGGGAGAGCAACGGGCGTATATGCACAGTTTAGCCTTGATGGTAAACGGGTGGGAAATATGTACTGTACAAAAGCATATGGATGTTATTAATGAAGGACTTCGATTGTCCTCCCTCTTTATTAAGGTCTAAAGAGCATCCTTAAATACGTACATGATTATGGATAATCATTTAAGGATTTACATTCATATTAACAGATCTTGAATGAATGCGATTTCATATTAACTAACTGCAACTCGTGATTATCACTCACTCACTAATCTACATTGCAACAAGTGAAAGAAAAATTTTTATATAGTAAAAAATAATCAATGAGTTTGCCGTTTCATTCAAAAAACTTTTTGTCCTTTTATTGTTAGAAAACCATAGTAATGGTGACTCTAAAATAGTGACCCTGGCAAAATTGATTTATGCAATATTTTTTTTTTCTTTTTAGCAAATTATGTCAGGTGCTTCGGATGAATTAAATGAATTAATTGAAGAAGAAATTAATAAAGTTAATAATGAAGGAAAAGAAGTTAAAAAATATGAATATAATTTATTTAGCAATTTTTCAGTAATCAGCAGAAGTCCTTTTGGAGATGTTCTAACAGCAACGTGGGAAAACTTTACAGTTGTTCTTAAAAGCATAACCATTAATACTAGTCAAATTGATAGCGGAATTATTAATGAAATAAAGAATGCTGTTAATGACAGTAAAATCGATCCCATTGAAACTACAATTAACAATAGAACTATTATTACTAATGCGATTAGATTGTTTATTAATGAAGTAATTATTTTTTGTTTTTATATACAGTACTTATCTCTGACTATCGTTTGATATTATCTGATTTTTTTCGATGTATAGCTTCGGAAATTAGCAGCTGTCGATAAATATAAACATCCAAATATTATCCAATTCTATGGAATCACTAATGGTAATTAAAAAATATAAAATTTGATAGATTATTTTTGAAAACCAATATAAATCTTTATAAATTAATATTTATTATTTTAAACAGATCCTTTAAATAATCGATATAACTTGATTTTACAATATGCTACTAACGGAAGTTTACGTAAATACTTAAAAAATAACTTTTCGAAACTAAAATGGACTGATAGGCTACGATATGCACATGAAATAGCTAAAGGACTTTCATTTTTACATGAAAACAAAATTTTTCATAGAGACCTTGTAAGAACTTATGTTATATGAAATTTTATTTTTTAATAATGCATATTAAATAACTTTTTTTTTTTTTATTAGCATTCAAAAAATATTTTAGTTCATAATCAACGAATGTTAATTGCAGGCTTTGAAATGTCAAAACACATGAATGAAATAACAATGTTTAAAGCTAGTAAAATGTACGAATATTTAGAGCCTCAATGCTTTATATGTTCTACATATGAATGTGATGAAAGATCTGATATCTATAGTCTTGGAGTAATCTTTTGGGAGATTTCTAGCGGTAGGCCACCTTTCAGTCACTTCGAACATAGAGAAGCAATTGTTTTTCAGATATTCAGAGGAAAGCGGGAAACTCCCATAGCGAACACACCAAATGATTTTGTTAATCTTTATCAACGTTGTTGGGATCAAGAACCTGAGAGACGTCCAGAGATTAAAACAGTACTTGAAGAATTAAAAATTATGCGGCATTCTTTAACTGACAACCAAACTGATTCCAATGAAAAATGGATTGAAAGTGAAATCATTGAAGGGAGAATTAATGAGTATAAGATTAATGAATTTGAAGATTATAAACGGGTCAGTGTCGGTGCTTATAGTAAAGTTTATAGTGCAAGATTTAAAAGTACGAAAACACATGTGCAATGAAAATTATCGACCATAATAATAAAGAAATTAAAAATGAGGTAAATAATATTACATGAATCATTAGATAAACCATTTATGTTTCATGTTAAAATTGCTAAAATATACAATTGTATACGTAAAAAAATATGCAGATTGAACGTCTGCTTTCTGTGGAATCTCATGAGAACATTATTAAATTTTATGGTATTGTATATAAAATTGATGAAATGGATCCAAATGTTGTCACATATGCACTTATTCTTGAGTATGCGGATAATGGATCTTTAAGAGAATATTTGCATCAAAATTCGACTAAAATTGAATGGCCATTAAAGATTCAATTTGCAACTCAACTCGTAGAAGCTGTTAAATGGTTGCATGCTCATAATATTGTTCACGGTGATTTGGTAAATTTTATAATATGTAGTTGTACTATTACTTATATAATTATAATCAAAATTTGTGAATCTAATTTATTACTTTAAAGCATACCAATAATATACTTATACACCGAGAAACTTTAAAATTGGCCAATTTTGGATTATCAAGACGTGTCATTGAAGCTTCAAATTCTCAAACCACAAGCGAAGTTTTCGGTGTTATACCTTATATTGATCCTCAATGTTTTAGAACAGAACGAAGCCAAAATGGAAACTTTCGCAGATATAAAAAGAATAAGAAATCGGATATTTACAGCATCGGGGTTATTCTTTGGGAAATATCAACTGAACGAAAACCTTTTAAAACCGAAGATCCAGCAAGTCTACCAGCTAGGATTAGAAACGGGCTACGGGAAAAGCCAATTGCCGATACACCTCATGACTATGTTACTATTTATACAAGTATGTTTAATTATAATTTATAGGTTATGTTTTTACGGTTTTTAGTCATAAATATTTGACTTATTAGGATGTTGGAAGAGTATGCAAGATGATCGACCATCCATCGAAGAAGTAGCTATGGCGTTCGAAGACTTTGTTGTTCAAAACATCACGGAGGATGATAGTTTTGTTATACATGATATATCAACATTTGAAGAATTTATTAAAAACTCCTTTGAATACATTAAAATCAATATTAAGTTAAATGCCGCTGCAGTTGGTCAGGATGAAATGTCTCTCTTTGTAAATAATCTATATTCGATTTTTAGTAAGCTATTTAATGAAGGTAAATCAGTTAACGATATAATTACCAAGTTTATATCTCAAAATAATAAAACCAATGAAGAAGTTTTTCAATGGTTATTGGCAAATAACAATCATTCAAAGTATACTTGCCTACTTGGATTATTTTATCGTTGGAATATTGGCACGGCTGAAAATAATAATATATCGACTCTTATCGATGCGGCAAATAAAGGAGATGCTATTGCACAATATTTTGTTGGAAGGTGTTATTCAGAAGGTTGGAACACTGATAAGGATAAGAAGAAGGCAATTGAATGGTACACTAAGGCAGCCGACAATGAATGTGCAGTAGCGGAACATATTCTTGGAGAATATTATTATAAACTTGGAAAATATACAAAAGCATTTGATTTTCTCAAAAGAGCAGTTGAAAATGGAAATTTTAAAGCATTGAATACCTTAGGGTTATGTTATCAAAGAGGTCAAGGAACAGATACTAATGTGGTTGAAGGATTTAAATCATTTGGAAAGGCGGCAATATGGGGACTACCTATTTCACAATATGAACTTGGAAATTGTTATGAATATGGAATAGGAACAGAAATAAATTTGGATCAAGCATTATATTGGTATCAAAAGGCTGCAGGAGCAAATCCCAATTATCAAATTCATCTGAAACGTGCCAACTATAAAAAAAACAGTAATAATTACTATAAGTACGTGAGTGTTTTTTTTTTGTTTTTTTTTTTTTTTTAATTTTTTTTTAATCATTTTTTTTTATCCACATTCAAAGTCGAATTTGGTTGGTTATTTATACTCTGGGTACTATGTGCATAAGCGGAAATTAAATTCTTCCCGTTTATACCCAACTACCTATAATATAACTATTGGGGTGATTCAGAATTAAGGATCAGGTTTCTGATTTCGAATTAAAATAATGAAGTATTTATTTCGAAATCAGCGATTCATAAATCTTATTCATTTTGATTTATAAGCTTATTTATATAATAGCATTTATGATCGTGAATTTTCTTTCGAGGCTTGATATCTTTTCATATATATTTCAAATACCTCATATTTCTGATCGACAATTAACATAAATTATATTTTAGAAGTATTAATATAAGAATATTCTAATAGTAATCATAAAAATATAGCTAATATTGAAGAAAAAAAAATCGATGGATGGTCGGTACTATTGAAAAAATTAGGCCGATTTACTATTCGTGATTTTTCTCAAGTTCTCTTCTTTAGTGGTTTGTTTAAAAGCTTTTTTTTTTGGAAAGCATATTAATTATTAATAATTCGAGAATTATGTAATATTGTTACACGCCATTTTTGTAATTTAATCTCCACCGATTGAAAAGTAACTCAGGTCAATCATAACGCATTTTATATTAAACTATATAATATAATATTACTTATTTTGTAAATTATGATTTGTATAATAAAAAATCACCAGTTGCTTATGATAATTCTGTAATTCTTCGAATTTCTTCTATATTATTGTCCGTCGCGCAGCGGAGGATTTTTAAGGATTATGCATGGTGATACAAAGTTACGTTTTTGATGCATTAATAGCTACATTTTTGATTCACCTTTTATTGTCATTTAAGCTATTGCATCAAAAACATAAATTTGAAAATTCATGTCTGTCCGCACGCGTGTTCAAATTTGTAATTTTAGTGTAACAAAATATGACATTCACGCGTTTGTGCAATGAGATGACTATCATATGATACGCTCCGGACTCATAATGCTATGCATTTTATAATCATGAATCCATAAAGTTTCGATTTTTTAAGTCATGAGACTTTTGAGTGAATACTTCAAACTTTTATTAATCAAATGAAAAAACAAACATTGCTTAATGGATGAAAATCGTTATAATGAGTGTTTGAATGTATTGAAAAATCCTAACTTGCCAAATAATCCAGTTTTAATTCATTCATTGAAATTCTTGATTCTGGTACTGATTCTGGTCAATATTATATGGAGCAAGAAAAAAAAATGGTGAGCACATTCTATTGAACTTGAAGAAAATAAATCTAATGAAGTGTACTAATTATTTATTAATACTAATCATGTAAAGAAAATTTTAAATCTCTTTAAAATTTTTTTTAGCAACATTTATCATTAGATCAGCAATTCTAAATGTTAAAAGAAATGAATATATTCAAAATAAGATGCAAAGAAGTATAAAATAAAATGTTAACAAATATTTGAACCTTGTGAATTTGTAAAAATTTGCATACTTGATATTGACATGCTAAAGATGCAACAAGATTGCAAAATTTTTTAAAAAAGCCTGACAGTGATTGTTATCAGGCTGTATGCAAGTTTAGAATTTTTGATAATTGGTAGTTCTCTTGAACAACACAATTTCATTATGGCAAGCTATATTTAAGTAAAACTTGTTACAATCCACAAGCCAAATTAAAATTATGTAATAAAATTAAATAAATTTTATTTACTACTAAATTAATTTTTTAAAAAAAAATTGTAGTGATAATCAAAGACCTAATGATGAAATGAATACTGTATTCATCAAGAAGCAACCAGTTCAAATAGAACAAATCAAAAAACAACTGCTGCCATTGTTGAAAACCCAACCGCAATACCAAAGCCCATAGTTGTCAAAAAAAATAATGTATGTATATTATGAAATCAATGTCAAAATTGTTGATTTTGCTTTTATATTTGATTTTTTTTATTCTTTTGCTTGAAATTTATATAATCAAATATTGTGCAGATTTAAATTTTTAAAATTTGAAAACTATACTGATTGTAAAATTATATATATTATTTTTAAATTTGTTAATTTCAAAACAACATAAATCCAAAACGATATAGAACAATAATACTGTATAATAGTAATATTACTATATAGTGCTGTAATGCAATATTACTTTAATGTCAAGATATTGAATTCTGTAAAAATTGGCAGGTGTATTGAAAGATTGTAAATGAAGGATTAACAATAGAAGAGTGTGAAGGATACAAATAATGAGATGCAAAAAGATTGTACAATTAAAAAGAATAAAAAAGATATTTACAAATTAAATAGGTATTGTTCAGTCGACTTTGGTGTTCTGGATATTTGTAGTGCAAGGATTAGGGATCATAATCAGTCATGATCAGAATTTGTATGAATGGCGTGATTTGGGGTTGCATGGAATTAATTAAAAGTTAAAATAGTGATTGTATAAACAATGTGGTAATAATTAGTGATTAGTAATAATAGCAATTATATGAGTGATGGAAAAGTATGTAATAATCAGTAATTAATATAAGGTATTGATCTTAAAAGAAAAAGTACCTAACTTGGTGAGCTAGGGTATCTTTAAATGCTTAGTAAAAAACAATCTTTTTTTTTATTTTTTATTAATGTTAATATTATATATAGAAAAGCAAATAACTTTTAAAAGTATTACATGAATATATAATAGTTAATCAGATAGATTTTCTATAAAATCAAATTTGATGTAACATTACACCTCCAATTTTCTATTTTTAAAGCTAATTTAGGTTAACAAAACTGCTATTAGCTAAAAAAAGACTGGGAAAAAACCTTGTTTAATATAAGATAGTAATATATATATTTAAATTGAAACAGTTGTAATAGGGCTAGAAAAATATTGTAAAAAAATGTAATAATAATAAAAAAGTTAAAGTTAGAAAAAAAATAAAAATAAAAATAAAAATAAAAAATAAAAATAAATAAAAATAAAAACTTTTTATATTTATGTTTTAGTTTAAGAGAATTATAAAAGGTAGTTATATCATAAAATTGTATTAGGAATTTTTTGTTAGAGCCCCAAAGATAGTTTACTAGACTAAATTTAATTTTTGCAAAAAAATGTTTGTTTTGAATTTTTTTACGTTATATCTAATTCTAAATTTTAATTGGTTGGTAGGTGTCAGAAATTCATGTGAGATCCTACTCACTAGTGTAGTTAAGAAAATTTAGATCTCTATCGTCTAATATTCTCTTAAGCTTAGAATTAATATTATCTGATGATTTATTAGTTTTCAAAAGACTTTTAAACAGAATGTCTTTTTTTATGCCAATACTATTACAATATTATTGAGCAACACTGCTAGTTGACATTTTAAAACCCATATAGCAGCTCTTTCAGTATATTCAAATGTTTTTTGTAATCTTGATCTGCTTCTATAATAAGTACCAAGATTATATTTTTCACTTGCATGATCTATATCAGCAGATTTCTTACATATTCAAATGCTTTTTTGTAATTTCTTTTTGCCCAATTCCATAACCACTTTATTGTTTATTGTATTCAGATAACTTCTATATAGAGATCCCCAAAATTCTGGATCAGAGACTTCAAAGCTCTGGTTAGAAGGGCCAGAGTTGATCAATTTTGCTCCAAAATCACTAAGAATTTTACTAATGAAACAATAGTTGTCCATTAAGTGAAAAGTGTCTAGCTGATAATTTTACTATAGTCTATAGCTCTCACTAACTCTAATTTAGCCCTAATCCACAATGCATTCCGGCTATTATGACCTAGAATTTTGGGATCTCTCTGTAGAAAATCATTAAGATTGATAATCATAACCAAAATTAGATACTGCACAAAAATGTATACAAAAAAAGAGTAAGATCAAAATTATGCAAAATTCTACTAATGAAACTGCTAATACTTATTAAGTGCAAAATGTTTCTAAGTCATAAATCAAGTCTATTTCTTAAAAAAGTTTTAAAAAAAAAACAATTTTTAGCCAAAATTAAGAAATTTAAATATTATTGGTCTAAATTATAGCTGGTAAAAAAAATTAACTACTGTAGTTAGATATTTGCTGATTTGATAAGATTGTGATCTTAATAACTATTGCCAAACCAAAACATATCAAATCATTAAATATTCAATTGACCAAGATTTTACCAAATGTCCTAGAATTTGTAAAAATGGCTATAATGTAGGCCGATAATTTTCAAATCCTTAATTAAAAAATTATATTTTTTGAAAAATTTTTTAACTATTAAAAAGGAATTTTTTAAAAAATAAACTTACTCTAAACATTTTTTACTTAATGAGTAGAGTTTTGTATAATTTTAAACTTACTATTTTTTGCCACTGTTGGTGGCAAACCTGCCAAAATTTGCTGCTCCAAATTCAATATCACAAGGCCAAAAACATAACAAAAGCCCCAATCTGAAGTCGTGAAAAGACTGTGAAGAAATCATTTACACAAAGCTCCAAGATTACAAGACCTTATGTTTAGGGCAGTGCCAAAAGCTTAGCTAGAGAAGGTCAAGTGATAATGGCATAATGAGATGAGTTTGGGTTTAGATTAGAAAAATATTTGATTTTTGTTCGTTGTTTTTCTCCCTTCTGCAAGTAATTTGTTATCACTTAAACCATTTCTTCTACAAATTTGCCCTGAAATTTTGTTTAATATTTTATTTTTAAAATAAAATTTTAAATATTAATTTTGTTAAATTTTTTATAGAAACCTGTCTTTATAGCAGCTCTACATATAGCAGCTAATTAAATTTTAGAATTAATACAATTTTTTATATATTTTTTATTTTTTATTATAAAATTTTTAAAATTTTTAACTAATTTTAATTGGCCAATAGTAAGCAACTTATTATATATCCACATGCTCAATTTGATTGGCTATTTATATAGAGTCGCTATAAACTAATGCTTATTAATTTTAGCTATATACTTTCTAAATAAAAAATATTTTTTAAAATATATTCTAATAACTTTATTAAGAAATTTTTTTAAATTTATTAAAAAACTTAGAAGTAATAAAATTTTAAAGTTTTTATTTTGAACTTTTTACTATAAGCTTTTTCTATATATTTTTAAATTTTTATATATTTTTATTAATGAAATTTTTTTTACTTCTAATACAAGTCTTAATTTTTACAAATAAATCATAAAAGTTGTAATAGCAAAAGTTAGCATTCTTTATTTAAACTACAATTTCAATTAAGAAACTATAGGTTTAAAATTAATAATTAAAAAATTTTCAAATAATTGTAAATTTTTTTAATTAAAAATTTTTTCAAATTTTGTATATTTTTAGCCTATAAGTAAGTTAAATTTTTTATCTTATAGTTTAAATATAAATTTAGCAAAAATATAATCCTTACACTTAATTTTTATTTTTAAAAAAATTTAATTAAATATATTAAATTTTTAAAAAATTAAATTAAAAATATTTTTATAGTAAAATTCAAGACAAATTTGCTCTGAATTTCAAATAGTTTAAGGGATTAAAATGGGCTCTTTTCACTCTCTAATAAAAAATAATATGTGTTTGCAGTCAAAATCATTTTTGGCCTCATGATATACCTGATACGTCTTACCTTGCCAAATTGTAATTACCTCTATGATTAAGTATATCATGAAGTGTGGGTGGGTTGTGTTGTGTTTTGGGTAGTTATTGGTTTGAACTAGTAATATACTACATATAGTACTATATGTATAGTACTATACCAGTCACATGATTTATCATATCTAAAATTTTATTATATAATCTTCACAGATTATACAAATCAATGAAATTATATTTTTTAAAAATTTTGCCCAAAACCTTAGTTTTAACACATAGTATTTCTTAAAACAAAATTATTGCTGAGCTTTCAACGAATCAAATGGTATAAAAAATATAAAAAATGAACTTTTCTTTATAAATCATTAGACATTTGAATGTAGACAATTATTTTTCAGGTTAGCAGCTTTTCAGATTAAAAATGATCTAGTAGGTGCATCAGAGTGAGAACTTTTGACAAAATCCATTTTGAAGGGCTGGTGCATTATAGACCTGGTAGTGAAAATCAAGAAAAACTACTTTATAGTATATAGATCACTTATTGATTCGATGCTTTTACATTATTTTTGCTTGTAAAAAGATACTTTTTGAAACAGTTTCGATATTTTATTGCATATATTTACTTATTAAATTAATCTATTTATCTAGATCTATAGTCGCATTGCAATAACTAATAGTAATATTCATTTTAATTAATTAGAGATTATTAAGCTATTTGAGTTCATTAAACTTTGTGTTGATTCAGTGGATAAGTATAAAAATTATTTATATAAGTTATTTAAGTTTATTTAATTTTTTTTTTAATTAAAGGAGACCTTCTTGGTCGGTGACTTTTATTAAGCTGAATTTAGACACTATACATTTAGATAAAGGTATATCAAGCTACATGTGTACTTTTTGAGTGTCTAATTTAAGTAGCCCACCTGAAGGTTCTACATTATTTACCATATCTGCACTCCAACTAGAGGAGTACCTATTTAAACCTTCTGGTCTTAATATATTTAGCCTATATCCATCTTAATGCAGCTGTAACTCACTATTCAAATGTAGATTTTGTAACACTACTACATAAACAGCCAACTTAGAACACTTTACTATTCTTGAAGATAAGCCTAACAGAGCGATACATGTCTTACACATGTATTTACCTGCATGTTCTGTAATTACTTTCTAGTTAGTACCTGTTGTGCTGCTGATACCGAGTTCGTATCTCAAGCTACTCTTTAGAGCACTGCTATAACCCAATCCATATCTCAAGCTACAACCTTCCTAATAAGTTTCCCATTATGTACTTATTGCCCTTAACAGTTCACAACAACCCTAGTACCCACACTTGGAACCGCCTCCTTACTCAGATTCTTTATTGGTCCCTCTTTTACTTCCAGCTGGCAACCTGAAAGGGTTGGTCTGCCTAGGCTTTAGATGCCTGAAGGATGCCCACCCCTTGGTTCATACTTTTAGAGCGTATGCCCTTTTTCTTCGGTGCAACAATCTAGCGGTTCAGCTGGTGTGTCCTCCACTACAAAACCTGGTTGCTCAGTTCTCCAATCTTGGGCCTCAGTTCGAATTTAGCCCTCCTGTGATACCATTGAATATCATAATTACATCCAGATTTGGGACTTCCCAAATGAGTTTTTGGTTATGCCAGTTTCTCAGATTTATTGTGCCAAAGCTCCTATTGCAAGATGGTGTAATCAAAGTTACAGATTTAGTTCTAGATCCAACCAATAAACATAGCTGTCAACCGAACACAGGCCTATTTTCCAAATATCGTCACCAGTGGAATTTGAACTCTAGACCTGCTACTTGGAGAGGGTGATGACTAGACCACTACACTAAATTGCCACACCTCTCTAGTTTATTTAATTTAATTTTGAAGTTTATAATTAATTGGTATATTTAAATTATTAACTAGTATTGTTATGATTAGAAGTTTGAATTTTACATGTTAGCTAATCATAGAAGAAATAAATCTATATTTATTCTTTGATTTGTTGAACACCATTGATTTTTTTACATTG